ATTTTTAGCTTTAAAATTAATTACCTGTAAATTATTAAACAATCGGAACCACGCATTAAGAAATTCTTGCTAAGCATCGGTTCCCCTATACTGTCTTTGGTACTCAGTTGCTCCTCTTAATGAAGAAGAATTGAACATATCAAATAAATTATTAATATTCCTAATAAATCTTTCGGTTGTTGTTGCTTCCTCGACGAATACAATAAATCTAATATACAGATGCAGACCGGCAGCAACAGTGTTACTAAATATCTGAGAAGCATATATTAACAAATTTGGAAGTTTAAGATTATTAATACCACTTCGAATTTTACTCATGTTCAACTTCACAATACTAACAATTATTCACAAAACTAACTCAGTTTAAGCAAAATACGGCACTGTTAACCCGTACGTTTCTACGCCACTAGCAACGGAAGAATGGTTCTCGAGCGACTAAGAAATAAGCGCAGTCGCTCTGCGCGTTGACAGACTTTACTTCCAATTTTTCAGAGAGTGGTTCTACTGTGGAACCTCTTTACTTTATACTGTGCTACGATTCCGACAACGACTGCAGACGGCGTACAGCAACTGCAGACAGCAGTTGCACTTGCTACCGCGGTAGGCGCCATTACTATAGTAAAATTCATTAAGCGGTGCAGGAAAATATAAACATTAAATCGTGTCCGAACCGGTATGAACCGCCGATAACATCGCCAGACGAAATAAAGATGGACATTCCGGTTAGTTTTTAAATATTTTTGAAGAACTGTTACTTGCATTTATGCATAAAATATTCATTAATTTTATAAATCGGAGTATTTTTTCACTTACTTTGTATTCAGTGATAACATTAATTTATTTACTATGCAATAAACACGAATATTTGAGAAAAGAAAAAAAATAATAAAGTGTCATAATTATACTGTTACTTATCGGAACGAGTAGACTCATTTGGAACATCTTTAACAATTATCTGTTAAATTTATCGTTGTTTATATACCCTGCACCACTTAATGGAATAAGGTTTAGGTATTATGTATTAGGTATTGTTGCTCTCAGGCAACATCATCTTTATGAGCACTTAAGTAAATTTCTACTATATATAGCTGTTATGTGACAATGATAACTGTGAACAACAAGTCATGTTGATTATATAAAACTGTTGGCGACATCTAACATTCAATGGAGATATTTGAAAAAAAAAATAACTTAAGTACATACGATACCAGTAGAAGTCTACATGTAAGTGGGTGTGTCATAATGTTTGTTATGAGTATTCTCAGGTTACCTTGTCACTTCGTATAATAAACAAAAGTTGTTTTAGTGTAATTCTGTGCTATTTTTTGCTGTATTCGGTAAGTAATCATATTATTTTGTTGAATAAATATCAAGTAGCTCTCAACATCGTCAGTTGGGTAATTGAGTTTTTTTCAGTATAAGATTTCCATATGGAAATTTTAGAGGTAGCCTTGCCTCTTGAGTATTTTACGAGGTTTTTTGACTAAATCTAATAAAGAATATTGTATACCAGCCGAACGTATACAGTACGCAATAAACTGTGGTAAGTGTCAACACAAACACTTCCGAAATAAGACTTTTTCTCAATTTTAATTTTTATGGAGGTAATGCAGCTGCCAGTAATACAAGATTATTGGGACACTTTTTAAAGATTTCATCTTGTTATGTCACTAAAAAAATTTCAAAAACTGAGAACATTGATCCATTTCAATAATAATTTAGAAGTAACTTCAGAAACGAAAGTCCGCTACTTCAAAATTAGTCATTACAGTGGCAATTTACGATAATACATACAAAATAAAAATCATAAATGGGATTATAAGTTTTTGTAAGGTCAGGCGTTTCAGGATATATTGCTGATTTCATTCCTTACCAAGGAACTTCGACGATAACTGTCTGAGCTGACGTGGCCTGGGCGGTGTGGGCGGAAGGTCGCTTGCAACAGCGACATGGCTTGCGCTTGTGGGCAACATGGCAACCCTTGCTTCAGGTCCACACCGCTCAGGCCACGTCAGCTCAGACCACGTCAGCGCATACCGTCCCCGCGCGCATACAGCGAGTATAAAGATAGCGACACATGGTAAGACCGGTTGTCACTCGACATTGAGGAGTAGGCAGATTGAAAACTCAGTGCCGAGAGACAGTTCTTGTATTTATAATACAGAACACGATACTGATTCGTCTTGAGTGAGGGTAGTAGGCAGATTTTGACCCGGAACTCGAACCTTAACCGTACCACTCTTGATAATGGCTCCAAAAAGGGATCCGAATCGTCGAGTAATAAATTCTCAACGCGGTTCTTATCGAGAACTAAGTAATATATATATATATATATATATATATATATATATATATATATATATATATATGTATATATATATATATATAAATATATATATATATATATATATAATATATATATATATATATATATATATATATAAACAGCACAGTTTATTAGGACTGCGGTCAAAAGTTTGGCCGGGATGTTACAGAAACACTCTTTTGATTTTGGTCTAGCTTTCAGAAGAATTATAACAAACATATACAATATAACAAAAAAATGGACAAAATACATTTTAAAATTTAGTTAATGATGTAGTAGTTAATTCCTGGTACCACCCAAACATACTATGGACAAAAATTCACAAAGAAGGATGCCCACTACGTCCTATACTTGCATGCAAGAATGCCCCCACGCAATCCTTGGCTAAATATCTAGCAGGTATTATTGACACTTCTTTTTCTTCTCATAATACCTTCAAAATTAAAGATTTTTTTGAATTTGCAAATAAGATCAATGGGTTTTTACTACCCTCACGACATATCTTGGCGAGCTTTAATGTTACATTCTCGTTAACTAGTTCCAGGAGAACTAGTTCTTCTGGAACATCAAGACGAAGCAGAACTAATATGACTTGACAATGGCAAGTGTGACCTTGCCGAAACGTCGTCAAAACAATGGTTTTTCTAAAAACCAAAATTACTTAACGCGGAGTCAAACCCGGAAAACAACTGAAATCACATATAGCTACCGCGGAAACTTCAAATCCAATATATATATATATATATATATATATATATATATATATATATAATATATATATATATATATATATATATATATATATATAATATATATATATATATAGATATATATATATATATATATATATATATATGTATATATATATATATATATATATATATATATATATATATATATATATAAATATATATATTTAAAAGATTGGCATGGCTTAGGAGGACAAATTCGGTAAACTTCCCGGGCTCGAATTGGTATCAATAAAATGTTATGATTATTTCGGCCTATCCCAGCCTCTTCAGACACTTCGGCTTATACAAATTCAAACTCGGAAAGTTCAACGAATGCCTCCCAAAACCTCACTAGAACGTAGTTAGCTTACAAAGGAGCCACCTGCTTTGGCGGCTGTAAAAGAAAACGATATGATAATATCGTTTTCTGTATTCTCTGCGCTATGCGAAATATGTAAAAGATTAAATCTTTTAGCGAAAGCCGCTATCGCTTTATTGAATTAAATGGCCAAATATATGGCCTAGGAGGACAAATTAGTTAAACTTCGCGTGCACGAATCGGTATCAATTAAGTGTTATGATCATTTCGGCCTATCCCAGTCTCATCAGACACTTGGGCTGATACAAATTCAAACTCGGAATGTCCAACGAATGTCTCCCAAAAGTTCACTACAACGTAATTAGCTTACAAAGGAGCTACCTGCTTTGGCGGCTGTAAAAGAAAACGATATGATAATATCGTTTTCTGTATTCTCCGCGCTATGCGAAATCTGTAAAAGAATAAATCTTTTAGCGAAATCCGTTATCGCTTTATTGAATTAAATGGCCAAATATATGGCCTAGGAGGACAAATTAGTTAAACTTCCCGTGCTCGAATCGGTATTAATTAAGTGTTATGATCATTTCGGCCTATCCCAGCCTCATCAGACACTTGGGCTGGTACAAATTCAAACTCGGAAAGTCCAACGAATGTCTCCCAAAAATTCACTACAACGTAGTTAGCTTACAAAGGCGCCACCTGCTTTGGCGGCCGGAAGTTTAACGAATTTGTCCTCCTAGGCCATATATATATATATATATATAATATATATATATATATATATATATATATATATATATATATATTTGGAGTCAATATAGCTGACAAAATATCTAGAGCAATATTGATTACTCTTTCTCGGAGCAGACATCATTCATAACAGAGAGATAAACATTCATCATTATTTAGGCGAAGCGCATATCGTCGCTACAATCGTTCAAAGGTTGAAGTAGGAAATACTTTTTCAAAGTAAAAAAAGATATTTATAAAATGGGTGAAAAAGATATAGATAATACCTGTATATAGTGGAAAAGTAGAAAATTAAACGTTAATAGCATAAAATATCTAGATGGAATATAAATTGTAGTATAGCCAGTTTATCACAATCGGAATAAATGGCTTAAAAAATTATTAAACAGAATGATAACAAGAAAAAAATTGGCTCATTACGACTAACATGAAATCCATCATTACGAATATTGCAACATCTATTTTACATACAAGAAAATTACAAAGTAAAGAGAATTTATCGGTTACAAAGGACATACAATTCAGCATTTCAAACATTACACTATCTAAGCTACGTAATAAGAAACTACAGAAATAAGGCATTAGAGCTAAAAATTTAAACATTTCCGCAAATACAATCGGAAAATAATCACTTAACTGTGGATATCGGTTACGTTGTATATACTTCTGTTTATACACTGTAAGTTGATGTAAGATAAGCGAAATTTATTATTGTCATATTAAATCTACTAATTAACTTAACCCCTAAGAAAAAGACATTTAACTAGAAATTTTAACGATAAATACAAAAGCAGAATCTTTCAAAAGTTTATTATTTATTATCCTCTGGTCTCACTCAAAAAATTCAATTGTATTTGTGCGTCTCCCAGCTTACCTGAAAACGATGCCAAATATTGAACAATATTTTTTTTGTATATTACTCTCATGTTCAAGAACTCTAAATGTACAATGTGAATTTGGATACCTACATACTTTAATACGAAAGACAATCTACTGAGTGTTAGATGTCTAACAATTAATTTTATAATCTTTATGCTTATTATAGAATGACAAAAATTTAGTGGAACTGTTATTTGATCAGCTGTAATAATAATAATAATACATTAAACATGACGTGTATAAATACTACCAATAAACCCAAGTAAATTTGGATACGGCATATTTAAATAAAAACTAAAGTCACTGCCAAACATAAAGATAATTTATTGGGTACATTCATTGTGTTTTTATTGTCTACATTAATATATAACACATGAACAAACGTGGTACATATTCAATATATTAAAGGAATCAGACCTACGAGAAAAATGTATTTAATTAGCAATGTTGACGATGAGCGAGAAACAGAGCTTTCAGACAGAGAAAACGATTTAATAATATTTGTACATCTCCCAAATTATCTTAAAACTATCCCAAATATTGAACAACACTTTTTTTTCCTTTTATTCTTCTTCTTCGTCTAGCCATTCACGTCCACATCTGAACATAAGCCTCTTCAAGTCTTCCTTTCCATTGTTTTTTATTGTACGCTACTTGTGGCCATTTTTTTTTCATACTGCTCTCATATTCAAGAACTCTAAATTTACGATGTAGAGTTTAATACATGTATAAAGTATATTATACTTGGATACTTTAACCCTTTATCGATACATGTAACCATACGGCAGGGGTCACCAAATGGCGGATCGCAGTCCGCATCCGGACCGTGATCTTGTTTTTGCGGACCGCCTTTAAATTCAAAATATAGTAATCAAATTATAATCAAATCTATATATATATATATATATATATATATATATATATATATATATATATAATGATATATATATATATATATATATATATATATATATATATATATATTATAATGAAAACAGAAATACAATAAATTAACTTAGAAATATATACAACCAGATATACAATGTTAATTAAAATATTTATTTAAATAGTGGTTAGAGACATAATTTGTAAGTTATATACTAGATAATATTATTAAAAAATAATTATATGAGGGTATTTTTAAGAATTTAGCATAAAGGTCGTGGCATATTATCATACACTTTCCGTTTCCAGCCTGTAGCGTTTAGTTTCCGAAAAATATCATTTAAATGGTTTTAAATATGAACAACTCACACTGTCCGAAGGGTACCGTTACAGACACCTAACGTGACCGTTCAGTACATTCAAAATCAATATTTTACTGATGCCGACGGCTACGTAACGGGCCGTAACCGGTTGGTACGGATCATGTGAATTAGGGGTCCGTCGTTTTTCCCTCGTTGTTTATTTAGGAATTTGTTTGATTTTGATACAGAGTATTTGAAAAAATAATTTTCGAGACTATTTTGTCATTTATGCATGTGTTTTCATTGATTTGTGACATTCTTTGTGTTAAAATGGATTTAGAAAAATTAATTGAACTTGTACGCGGTGAAGAAATTTTATATAATTACAATGATAAATGCTATCATGATGCCAATAAAAAAGAAAATATTTGGAGGGAAATCGCACGCAAATTAGGACAAAATGGTAAGTAGGTATCAAATTAAACCACAAATATTTAATCCGTCCAAAATGTACTAATTACTAATTAATGTGGCATCTTCAATTTCATTCCTGGTAAATTATATATATATCCTCTAACTTAATTTCGTTTTCTAAATATGTTTTTAAATAATAATTATGAAAAATGCCTCCGTCACTATTCTTGCCATAGCTGCCTATGTCTACAGCAATGAACTTATACCTAGCATCCACCAATGCCATTAGTTTTATGGAAAATGTTTTCGTATAATTAAAAAATAATAAACCACTATTTGCTGGAGCAATTATTTGAACATGTTTCCCATGGATTGCCCAAATGCAATTAGGGAAATTCCATAATTCCCAAAAGTCTTGAGCTATTTCTTGCCACTTGTGAGGAGTAGAGACAGGAGTACATTCTGATTTCATAGTCAAAATAATTGCATTTGTAACATCCATAATGATTGATTTGACCGTGGACTGTCCGAGTCGAAAACTATATGAAATTGTTTTGAATGAATCCCCAGTAGCTAGGAACCTAAAATAAAATTTTATTAATAATTAATGTTTTTTTTAGCAAAGGATTGTAAAAAGCAATGGAATTCCCTTAGAGATGCGTTTAGGCGACAGCAAAAAAAGCGAAAAACAAAGAGTGGCCAGGCCGCAATTATAAATAAAAAATGGAAGTTTGAAGAAGAAATGAACTTCCTTCTTCCTTTCCTTCAAGATAGGTGTACCATTTCTACAATCAAAATTCCCGAACAAGAAGAGTGGCAAGTTGAAGCTAAGGCCGACTCAGAGAAAGAACAGACTGAAAAAAAATCTTTAAATGTTGAGGTGTCCTACGATAAACAAGCCCCAAAAAAAAGTGAATTTGAAACTTCGCAATTGCCAAAGAAAAAAAAGAATGAAAGTACTGCTGCATCTGTGGTTATGGATAATCTCCTAAAATCCGAAGAAAAAGACGAAGTTGAAGCGCTTTTTTATGGTTTGGCCCAAACTGTAAAAAAGATGCCACCATATTACAGAGCACTGGCAAAAGCAAGAGTTTCTTCAATTGTCGGGGATATAGAACTACAATCTATTACTCATCCTAATCCACCTGCGATAAGAAATCCATACATATATCCGGGTAACTATCCTGCCTATAGTGACCAACTTAACAATAATAATTCAGCCCCGATTACGCCAATGCATTCACCTCAGACATCAAAATGTTCAACATCAACAAAGACATCTGCAGCATCCAATAACAGAAATTTTAATGAATATGTTTCAAAGAATTTGGTTTTTGATAACGAAAGCATGCAGTGGCGGATCCAGGAAAGGGCGATGGAGGCAATCGACTCCCCCTCTCAAAATGACTGATGTTTTTTTAATTACAGAGAGTGTCCCAAAAGCAGCGGAATGGTCCAATATTACGCGAAATTGAAATAGACGTTTTCAATAATTTTCAAAAATCTATCGTATGACAGCAAACCCCACTCTAGACGCTGGAGGTGGGCTCTTAATTCTTAAGTATCAACCATCGTTTTTTATTGCAGTTTTGGATTCCTTGTGAAAGATTAAATATCATTTATTCGAAATATTTTTTAGAATTGTTGATAGATGGCGCTGATGAATTGTATTTTTTCGATTATAGCGCCATTTATAAACAATTCTACAAAATGTTTCAAATAAATGTTACTTATATTTCATGAGGAGTCCAAATCTGCAATAACGAATGGGGGTTTCTTTTTAAGATTTTAAAGGTAGTCCTCACCTCACCTCTAGGGGGTGAAGTGTGGAGTTATTTTTGGTGTCATTCGATAGATTTTTGAAAATGATTGAATAACATATTTTTCAGTTTTTCGATCCGATGTTCATTTCGCGAAATATTCGACCGTTCCGCTACTTTTGGGACACCCTGTATAGAAAAATTTATGTTCCTAATATTAATTTTTTTAAGTAGGATTCGTATGTTCATACTTTATATTTAAGAAATAAATGAGTTAATTTTGTTAATAGAAAGTTTTGCTTTAACTTACCTTAAACACACAGCTAATTTTTCTTTAAGTGTTATGGCTTCTTTAAATGTAGTATTATGTTTTTTAACTAAGGGTGTAATTAAATTTAAAATATATTTAAACTGAACCCTATTCATTCTAAAATATCTATAATATTTTTCATCGTCATGAATTAATTCTTTGTATAAAGTCCAGTATTTACCTTCCTTTTTCCTTTCTCTTAACATTGGATGTACTCCAAACCTTCTTTTTACTACAGTTTTTCTTTGTTTATCATCAATTAGAAGCGCAATTGCACATAATTTTTGACGAGAAAAGCGAGAACAAATCTCTACCGCATCTAACTGAAACGTTGTATGTATGAAAATGTGAACGCACAGTCCAACCGCATCCAACTGAAACGTTCTATGTATGAAAATGTGAACGCGCAGTCCGTTTGCTCGACCTGAAACGCTATTTACCGGAAACGCCAAGTGTATGATAATATGCCACGACCTTTAAAGGTCGTGGCATATTATCATACACATTGCGTTTCCAGCCGATAGCGTTTAGTTTCCGAAAAATATCATTTAATTGGTTTTAAAAATGAACAACACACACTGTCCGAAGGTGTCATTACAGACACCCAACGCTTCCGTTCAGTATATTCGAAAACAATATTTTACTGATTCCGACGGCCACGTACGGGTCGTAACCGGTTGGTACGGATAATGTGAATTAGGGGTCCGTGATAAACAATTAGGACTTTTGCACGGAAGTAATACCTCTTCTTTTTTAAAAAATACTCTGGTTAGATATGTATGGCTTCATTAAATGTAGTATTTTGTTTTATAACTAAAGGTGTAATTAAATTTAAAATATATTTAAACTAAATCCTATTCGTTCGAAAATATCCATAATATTTTCCATCGTCCTCAATTAATTCTTTGTATAAAGTCCAGTATTCACCTTCCTTTTTCCTTTCTCTTAGCATTGGATGTATTTCAAACCTTCTTTTTACTACAGTTTTTCTTTCTTCATCGTTAAGTAGAAGAGCAATTGCACATAATTTTTGTCGCGAAAAGCAAGAACATATTTTCACCGCACCAAACTGAAACGTTCTATGTATGAAAATGTGAATACGCAGTCCGATTGCTCGACCCGAAACGCTATGTGCCGGAAACTATATGTGCAGGATAATATGCCGCGACCTTAAGAATTAAGTTTAAGAAATTTTTTTTATTTTATTTAATATTAGATATTTTTGAGTCAGCATATGCAACCAAACATACACTGTAGTGTCAAAGTCAAAAAGTTATTTATTTTTGGAATGTTAATTTAGAATATAATTGTGGATGTAGAATAGTAAAAAATATATTTCATATAAATGTTTAAGTTACATATAATAGTGTAGTTCTGCTCTGGGAGCCTAAAGTCAAGTAAAGTATAGA